TACATGTTCATGTACGCAAAGCTCTTTGTTGTTGAATCTAAACTTCATGCCTGACTGACATACTGTTGTCATCCTAGCTCTTCTAGAGTTTAATAACCATGCGGTGATATCTTTCTAGTTCGAAAATTATGGTAGAATCCATATTCTTGTTCGACCTCGTCTGGATTTATGGCGTGCAAACATTATGGCGCATTCTAGAGACTAAACTCGTCTATTACTGATGAACAGTTGAAGCTGACAGGAATCTCCATTTAATGACCAGTCTTCCTACGTAAATTTATAAATAGGTTAACATGCGTAAAAACGGTTTATTGGATATGATTATATCTGCTAGTAAAATAAATCATTTTGTGGGGATAGTACTTGGTACGCAAGTCTAGTCGCCGTTCGCCCCTCCATGCACTATTAGCTAAAATATTTGTAGGATGGGAACAGTTTGAAACCTGTCAGACTAGACCGTGTTAATCTATCTTATCATTTATCAATAATCTGAACAATAAACATACGAAAACCTTGAACTTGGTGTCCTTTAGATAACCTGTATTGTTGACTGGACACTTGGAGCATCCGCACGTTGTCTTCGTCCTAATCGCAATACCTCTTTCTACAAACATCGTTCGCTTTCGATTACTTTCTCCCTTACTTCGATAACTTCTAAGTACTTCGTATTTTGATATACTGATGTGACATGGGGTATATTGGACTGTAACGCCGAAAAGTTGTGTCCCGTAACCATCATGAACACAGGACCGGGCACCACTGCATAGCAGTCGCACTTCATCTACACATCAAGCGACAGAGCACTAAGATGAAAGATTAAGAAACAGAGAAAAACCAGTTAAAAAAAGTAAAAATGAGGAAGGAGGAATAAAAAACTGAATTCAGCATGACGATTAAAATAAAGATAATGTATGAGTGCATCTGTGCCACTGACATCCATTCTGAGCCAGCTCACCTAGAGTCTCTAATCGCTGGTTACTGTTGTCACACGGACCCCAAGCAGGGAGTCTACATTTCCCCCAACCGACTTAGACAAACAGTCGAGCACTTCATGCACTGATTCCGTGTTTTAGACTTTCCACATATAACCCTTACGCAGCGTGACCCTACTTCAGCCAACATTGTGCAACGAAGTAGACCGTCACTAGGCATGTGCAACACACGTCCCAGCCACTTGAGTCTCTGGAGGTTCACAACCTCATCAACTGACTTTCGTCTCCTGTATAAAACTCTACTCGTGACTTCTACGTTACTCTCACGTTGACACTCACATTACCAACAGCTTTCTAGAGTATCTCATCTGCGTACTCTATGTATTGCCTGTGATAAGATGGATTCCTGTGAATTCAGACGATGAGTAAACCTCCATAGGTACGTCAACGATATAGTTGAGTAAGAACGACGAAGTTATCTCTGTGTTCACTTCAGGATACGACTGGACAGCGAGTAACGCAATAGTAGCTGGAGGTCAGTTGAACTGTTCCTCGAAGTGTTCTGCCCATCGTCCCAGTCGTGTCCTCTGCGAGTGAATCACAAAACAATCCTCCGTTCAAGTTTCACTGACTGTTGATTTTTTTTTACCAGTTTCCTACCTAAGTACAAATAGCTGTTTGTTTATATCTATTGCGGCTACCTTTTCATCTCTCTAGCCTTCGCTATCCACCACCGTTGGTGGTCGTTGTGTAGACTTTTTGTCAGTTCTTTCCACTCCTTGCTCTGTTTGGAGAGAGTAGGGATGCGTTTGCGAGCACGCATCAATTCAGAAGAATCTGGTGATATCCACTGGACTCCTTTTGGTCACTCTCTGCAGTCTTCAACGATGTTTGTACAGTGGACTGGAGGAGACACCGAACTTCTGCATGAGTGATATTGTTCTTTTCCGGTAACCACCTAGACAATTTCTCACTAAAAGCAGCGTTAGTGTTCTCATTGTCAAACTACACTGATAAAAGTTTTGTTGCTACATTTTTTTACGCCCAATCGGGAGCAGACATGTACATGTTAAAACTAACGCGCGGTCACTATTGAAACGCATGCTCGAGGAAAGAGACAAGCCTCCACTGACCCTGTTCAATGATTATCCACAGCGATATGTCCCATCTGCATCCACCATTGAGTTGGGGTCGGTAGATCCCATGTCAGACAATGTATCTCTTTATGTCTGGAGTTCGTGCTGACCAGAAATACATGGTTGTCTGAGCAAAGTTGTAGCAAGCGATCGCCGTTATCATTCCGTTCATCTGTGATTCCGAAAATGCCACCTAGTTGGCTTTCTGCCTGATTTAGCCTACCTACTCCACTTGCATTGAAATCATCTGCTACAACATCCATATCTGGACGTTTGGGTTTCAGTAGAAGGCTGGACAGTTTTCGATAGAACCCATGCCTCATTTCATCGGAGCTGCAGTTATTCGGTGCGTAAGCTAGACTACAAAGAGATAATGACTAGTTTATCTACTTCCTTTAGTCCTCAATGGAGCGTTCAGTCGGACAACGCACAGGTGAAATTTGAAGAGTGAATTTTTCGTATCCACTATATTGAGTGGGTGATGTTAAGTGGATTGGTGCGTATGGGTCTTGCATGGGTGCTTTGCACACGTCTGTAACTTAAGATTCCCAAGCTTGAGTTAGTGAAGTTTGTTGACCAACTTGACAAAGGGTGCTGATTTAAAATCTCCAATCTGTAGTTCTGAGCGTTGTTTGAGGGGATCATGGATAGTGCTCCGTGAATTCAGATGGTTGTCGAAAGCTGCAGACATGGAGGAAATTATCGATAATGTAGGAATGTTAACTGAGAGACATAAAGAAAGATGAGGAAGTAAAGATTTGGTAGGTGGACAGTGCTCTGATTTAACTTTGGTGCTAGCAGAGTTGTCAAGGGTATTGTCGCTCCACCGCTGGCTATTATTGTTGTCACAGTTGTTGTCTTTATCATTATTATTGTTATTATTAGTTGTTATTACAACACAAACATGGTACAGCAAGGGCACCAAGAAATGCGCCAAAAAAATAATATTACAGTATCATGAAGACATAAAGCGAAGAAAAGTGAGTATTAATAAAACACAGTTAGAGTAGAATGATCCGAAGGGCATTCCAGTAAGGTACATCCAAAACGAAACACTCATTGCTTTTCAACAGCAGAAGATAGAAGGAAGCTACAGCATGACCGCCGCTGGTTTCCATTCTGAGTCATACATATCTGATAACGTCTCAAGTCACTGAGTTGCGTGACCTCTCGAAACCCACCCAGAGAGTCGTGATGCACCAACAGGTGCTAACCTGATATAACTACCCTTTATCCCACGGCACCACGTCATACACGGACCACCCGTCCACTTCTTGCATCCAGTCCCAGACTTAGCAAACAATGAGGAATATGGAAGCCGTTGGGACGATATGCGTAACATATATCCAAGCCACCGAAATCAATGTTTCCAGATAACTTCGCCACTTATTGAATGACAATCTCCATCATCCCCAAACATATTTTGTCTTACCTCAGAATTACTTACATGGTGTTACCACGGAATGCGAGCAATGCCACGGAGACAGCGATGATCGAAGACACAGAGTCGTCGCATATCCTCAGCTCGGAGAGACCAGGTTTCACGGGTGTAGAGCAGAACTGCTGGCATCGAAGCGTTGTAAAGCCAACCTCTTGCGGTCAGAATAATCTCACCACGGCGCCAAGGGTGGCCCAGATTGATGTATGGCATTCTGGCTTTCGATATGCGGTTGGAAATTTCACCACCTCCTTTAGCACTCAAACAACTACCCAGATACATTAACTTTTCGACTACTTGCAACAGCTCAACACCAAGAATGATCGCAGACACAGACTTCTGTTAATTCTGCAAAAGCACTTTGCACTTCAATGGTACAGAGCACATGCCGTACTTACGGACACTAATCGCCAGCTGATTAAATGCGACTTGAGTAGCCTGTCTGTCACCGCTCAGTAAGACGATATCGTCTGCATATTCAAGGTGGAATAGCTATTCTCCGGGTAGCAGATCTACACCATCATCACGTACCTCCTCTAGAGCTGTCCCAAGAATGTCATCGTTGGAAAATTGAAACAATGGAGAAATCGAGCAACCCCACTACTGGTTTGGAACGATAGAGACCGATGGTTGTATGCCCTTACTCTACCTGAGGTGTTATTATATAGGGCTTTCAAGATGTCAATAAATTTCTCGGGACCGCCTCTCTCCAAGAGAAAATTCCAAATTACAGCTCTGTCCAACGAATCGAAAGCAGCCACAATATATACTCACATTATCTTCATCTTTGCCGCTGTACTTAATCTCATCATTTTTTCATTCTTGCTTCCTCTCTTTTACTACTTTCTTCTTCTTTTGGTTGATTTTTCTCTCCTTCTTCATCTTTCATGTTATTGCCTTGTTACTTGATGTATAGATATGAAGTGTCGCAAGTGGGGCCGTTACGCAGTAATGCCTGGTCCTATGTTGATCTTGGTGATAATGATATACAGGTCCAGATATACAGGTATTCCTGGAAGGCTAGCAAATTCCTAGGGTATGTGCCGGATATTCAATAAGGTATATCAGATCTAATATCAAATACCTAATCGAAAGAACGAGCTCGTTCTTAAGATATGAAGGATATACGTTAGAACAGGTGCTCTGAAATAGTCGACAGCTGATATAACATCAGGAGGACCAACTAAATCGAGTTTACCTAATTCCACCATCTTATTGTAGTTTAGGCACTAGTTTTCGTGTATTCCTTTTTTCTAGAACTGATCGACTGGAAAACTAGGGGAAAGTCAAACATCTCGATCAAGTAGTCTACATCAGGAAGGTCCTTTCTTGCACGTGAACCACTGGATTACTTTCGTGGAGAAGGTTATTTCTTCGTTTTCCGTGATCATTTTCAAAGTAAGATTCGCTCTCCATATTACTCAACATCCAAAGATTAATACAGGTCACCTGACGCACTATCCTTAATTCTGAAAATTGAAACCAGATCTGCCAATGTCTAAGCATACAGATGATGGAAAGCCATCCAGAAGCATATTGAAAAAATCTAGTGATGAAGGACGTCAGAAGAGCTTTCAGTGGGATGAGTCGAACATTCTGGCTACTTATCATCCAGTAGATAAAACTTATGGGCACATGAAAATTGAAGAACCAAAAACTCCATTTGTATTTGATTCCGAAGATGGGTCTACTCTTGTTTCCGGAGCTTCTTTCTCTCCAGAAGATTTGGCTGCTCGTCTAGCTGCCACTTCTAATGACCCTGAAAAGCAACTGGTGAGTTTATGTTTTTGTTTCGCGGGTTGTGTGCATTAGTTTTATACGATTACATTCATAATTTCAGGCCATAAAGAACGTAACAGCATGTTCTTTATAAGAGTAAGACATGCGTGCATACATCTTTTGTTGATTTAGCAGAAGTAGGAAGGATGGGGTTCTGCAGTTCCAAGACACTATCGACAATGCAGACTTTCATAAAGTATACTCTTCAGCTTAACGTTAGTACTGAAATAATTATTTTGACTATAAATTAGTATGCTTGAAACCAAAAACTATAATCCTTTAAGTGCAACGCATCCTGAATTTATTGGTTACAGCTTTTTATCATTTGGAAGATTGGGGTTGTGGGAATACTAATGCTAAAAATTAACTACTCTCAGCCCCGTACATTACATGATCTATCTTGACATTCATTGTCTTTGAATGTATCAAGTTGTTAGTTGTTAATTGTGTCTTTCTTCATTGCTTTGTGACGTGTAGTTAGCCTTCACTCCCCGACTATAACCAAAGGTCACAGTTTCTTTCGTCTATACATAATTTGACTTGAGTTGAATGCACATTTTTGCGTTCGTTGAAACGTTTTCTAAAAATTTATTAGGAGTGTGCAGTAACCTATGTAGAACAAAGCACTTACCTTTGGTTTAACTTAGTAACAATCAGATTTTGATAAGTAAACAAAAGTATATAGCCCAGCTATCTAATTCTAAGATGCTTATTTGACTCAAGTTTTTTACCTCGATCCAAACTGGGAGCGGATAACACAGGAAGAGAACTAACCATGGGTCGAGAAGCGCTAGGTGAAATGAAAGAGAATAGAGAATTGTTTGCAGAATCCTGTGCATTCAACGATTTGGTGATTGGAGGCACTGTTTTCAATCACAAGGATATCCACAAAGCGACATGGATTTGATTTCACCAGGTGGATACACTAAAAATCTGATCGACTTCATCTCAATCTGAAGAAAGTGGAGACGCAGCCTACTTGACACAAGATAAAGAAGAGGAGCAGATTTAGGTTCAGACCACTATCTAGGTGCAAGAACCCTACCTTCCAAATCAAGTTGAAAGCCTTCAAGGAAGGTGGTGATAGACCACAGTTCAAGTACAACACTCGGAAACTGAAGGATGAAACTACAAAGGAGATCTTCACGTCAGCCATCAAGACAAAGTGGGAGATATCGGAGCAACATCTCTGAAGAAACCTGTGTGGATGAACACTGGAACTCTTTGAAAGAGATGTGGAAAGAAACCTGCATAACCGTGTTAGGAAGGAGGAAGAAAGAAGACAAGGAATGGATCTCGACTGGATGCATGGAATCTGATAAGCAAGCAGGAGAGGAGTGATGGTGAAGCAGAAGATAAACCAGTGCAAGAATGAACGAAGAGAAAAGGAACTGAGTACAACGTATAAAACACTACACTGGACAAAGAAGTGAAGAAGAGTGCACAGAAAGACAAAAGACACTTCGATGACACACTGGCAAGTGAAGCAGAACAGGCCTGCAGGTAGGAGAGATAGAGACCTGACAACATTGTATCAAATAACCAGGTTCCTATTAGAGAGGGAAGAGATCAACATAGATGAAACCAATAAAAGATGGTGAAGGAAATCTAATTACCAAAGAAGAGAAACGAAGGAAACGATGGGCTGGCCACTTCGAAGAAGCTCTTGAATCGACCACCACCTGCACTTCGTCCACAAATACCACCTGCCGACCAACCACAGAACTACCAGTGAACACAAGCTCTCCGACAAAAGCAGAAGTGAAGACCTGAACATCATAAAGCTATTGAAATGCGGGAAAGCAGCAGGACCAGATGGAATCCCGCCAGAAGCACTGAGAGTAGATGCAAGGACAACAGCGAACATGCTCACACCGCTCCACTATTGCAGAAGGTTTGCAAGGAAGGCAGGAAGGAAGGAAAGGTACTTGGCGATTGATTGGAAGAAGGACTACCTTGTCAAACTCCCGAAGAGGGGCGACCTAAGTGTTTGCAAGAACTGGCGCGGAATCATACTCATACTCCTCTCCCTGTCCACCCAAAGCTAGCAAAATATTAAGCCGGAATCATCCTGGAGAGACTACAGGATGCACTGGATTCAAAACTACGACCGGAACAGGATGGATGGCTGTCTTCAGTAAGTACAAATCACTATGCGGACCAAATTGCAACGCCTTACTAAGCATCATCAATGAACAGAGTATAGAATGGCAGTCAACTGGATCTCTCACCTCAACTTCATCGACTTTGAGAAGGCCTTCGACAGCGTCGACTGACAAGTAATTTGACAGGCAGTTGCTTCAACACTACGGTTTGTTACCACAAACCTTTATCAACCTCATTCAACAACTATATGAAGACTGCCACATACCAAGTAATTCACAGTGGGAAGCTCAGTGATGCCTTTGCACTTGAAGTGAAGACAGGGGACAGGAGTAAAACAAGGTTGTCTACTATCACCCATGATATTCCTGATTGTAGTGGACTGGATCATGCAACAAACAGTGAGGAGCGAGAAGAGGGGGACACGCTGGACAGAGGAAAAGACCCCAGAAGAAGATTTGGATTTCGCCGATGACTTGTGTCTAATGTCACACAAACTCGAAGATCTACAGGTGAAAACTAACAAGTTGACAGAAGAGGTGAGGCAGGGCAGCGAAGACGGGACTTCAAGTGAACGTAGAGAAGATAGAGGTGATGAAGATACCTAACCAACATCAACACCAACAACAACAACAATAAGCTGCAATCACCATCAACGGGAGAAACTTAAAGGAAGTAGCCTCTTTCACCTATCTAGGCAGCACTGTTTCAACTACAGGCGGCGGTGGCACAGACAACGACGTCAAAGCAGCCAGGATCGGAAAAGCAAGACAGGCGTTCATTAACCTGAAACCAGTGTGGAGATCTACTGCACTGCACTGCACTCAGCATAAAGCGTGAACAACACCCGGGTTTTCAACACCAACGTCGTCAAGTCAGGGCTCCTATGTGATGGTTGAGAGACTTGGCGCGTTACGAAACGGATTTCCAACAAACTGCAGACATTCATTAACAACTGCCTACGCTGGCTCGTTACTGAAGATCAGATGGCCAGAATAATAAGAATAAGCAACAAGGAGCTCTGGCTGGTTGGCAACGAACCAACGAAGAAGCTATCACTCAACAAATATGCAGTGGAAGGAATTGGAGATGGATTGGGCATACACTGCGAAGACTGACTGGGGACATCACGCGTCAGGTCAGTTACTCGAGTGGAACCCCGATGGGAAGTGACGAGTTTGGCGTCCGTGGTGAGGGTGACATGGAGGAGATAGTGTGAGGAAGAAATGAGAGCTTGTGGGCTGTTGTGGAACCAGGTTGAAAAGATTTCAGAGAAGAGAGTTCACTGGAGACGTGCTACTGAAGTCCAAGGCACAGATGATAATTATTTTCACCTCGATTAGCTAACATATGTCTTATGGGATTGTCAATGTACTGATAGGGTTACGTGGTTGGTTAATATATCGTAGTTTATCTTGTGTTATTCATTCATCACATTCTTACCGTAGCGGTATTTTTGAAGTCATTATCAGGGCTTTGATCAGATACTGCACACCGTAAACTGTTGACTTCTTGACATTTTTATGTATCCGCTTTATCGAAATAACTTGGAGTGTATGTTTAAACTATCAATCTGTGTTACAAAATAACTTTGTTTTTTGAATGAAAGCTTTCACTTTGATAAATTTGACTTTCACTACTAGAACAGTAGCAGTCGAATTCCGGTATCGAGGAACGTCAGCGCAGAGCTACTAGATCGTGTTGATGTGAAGCAGGATCTCATGCATCGGTGCGTTGAGTACATGGTATTTCAAGTTGATGTATACTTGTGAAACGAGACTTAGCGTAGGTTGGCTTGTGGTTTAAACGTTATGAAGAGAACATACAGAAGTATTTCATCCTTAAATGGTGCAGTCTAATTGCCATCCTAATGGATTTTGTGAGATTGTGGTTCATTGGTGTAAGAATTCCAACTTACACATTGTGTTATGCCGTAAAATCCATCCTACTTAGAACACTTTAATTAACAATGTAGATTCCACTGTTTTTTGTACAATGTGTTGCTCTTAGCTTATGCACAAAACTGTACAAATCAACTACTTTACATTGTTTAGTGGTTATAGTAACCAACTTATATCAGTTTTATTTTGAATGGAGAGTATTGTGAATCGCAGTCAGATGTTTCCATATCCAAAATTGATGCATGTTTCTCGGGATATAAAATCAGCATATGCACAACAGTGTATGGTGGTCGGCTTACAACTACCTCAATATAAGTGTAAAAGTTGAGCACTAGCAGAATGTATTTTTATATTAGAATTATTTATTTATCACACAGTGATACAGTATTATTTACTCTGAGTTTTGAGCATAAATTATCATAATATCGGAGTAATCAGCTTTTGATGTCTAATTTTTCTATTTGCTTACTGAAGTGCTGTCGCTGCACGAGTTAGAGAGGTATTTCTAAAATAACTAACTGCCTTATCTTGCCACTGATTCAGCACGGTGCGAATAAGCGTTTTTCTGCTTCCAAGTCATCTAATATTTTGGGGGGGAAATTTAATATTCAAATAAACTTTAATGAACGCTTTTCCTTAACAGACAATTCCAAAAAAGAGCTATGCTGTTTAGAGTCCGTATCTGATGATTAATAATACGTAATATAGTTTTCAAGAATTTAACAGAGAATAAACACATTTGCAATCTTACATATACGTGCAGGTTTCTTCAGTAGTAGTCACCGTATGTTGTGATATGAGTTTAACTGAGGCACTGTGTAGAGTATAATTCCGTACATGCACTGACTCAATCACACTATAAGGTGGTGGGAAGGGTAACACGTTTGAATCGTTGTTAATCGAAACAGTACTTAACACATGAAAAAGGAATAATTCACCACATACTGCCAAAATGTCGCAAA